GAGTGAGAGGGAAAATAAGGGTGTATGTTGACAGAGGTTTCTGTCCACCTGGTCCTGAAGCTGTTCAGACCCCCACAAAAAAAAAAAAAACACACAGAGCCCTACATTAATTATAAACTGATTGGCCTATTAGCTCAGGCTTCTTATTAACTAACTCTTACATCTTACATTATCCCATAATTCTTTTTGTGTTAGCCACCTGGCTTGGTACCTTTAATCAGTGAGGCATTCTCATCTTTCATTTTCTGCATCTGGCTGGTGACTGACTGACTCTATGTCTTTCTTCTTCCCAGAATACTCTTAGTCTGGTCCCCCTGCCTATACTTGCTGCTATTAGCCCATCAACATTTTATTAAACCAGTACAAGTGACAAATCTTTACAGGGTACAAGACCGTTGTCCCACACAGTAGATGTGGATTTGGGTGGTGGGGAGGATCTGCCAGAAATTGGGTGAAGGAATATCATAATCAGAATATATTGTTTGAAAAAAATCTATTTTCAATAAATTAAATAAAAAGTTTAAAATTGCTTCATGACTAAAACTATGTAGAATCTAGGAACAGAACCTGAACTTGAACACATTAAAGGCTATGTATTATAAACCTATAACCAGCTGTGGTGTTTTGAATGAAAATGACCTCCGTAGGCTCATATATTTGCATGCTTAGTTCCCAGGTGGTGAACCCATTTGGGAAGGATTTCTAAGTGTGGCCTTTTTGGTGTAGGTGTAGCCTTGTTAGAGCAGGTATGTAACTGACAATGGACTGTAAGTTTTAGAAGCCCATCCCAGACCCAGGTGCTCGCTCTATCTATCTATCTATCTATCTATCTATCTATCTATCTATCTATCTATCTATCTATCTAATCTATCTATCTTATCTATCTTTGTCTTTATCTCTGCCTGCTGCCTGTAGATCAGAATGCAAAGCTCTCAGGTATGGCTCCTGAGTCATGCCTATCTGCTTCCCACAATGATGATGGACTAACTCTGAAACTGTAAGCAAACCCTTGGTTAAATACTTTCTTTTATAATAGTGGCCATGGTCATGCTATCACTTCACAGCAAAAGGATGGCAACTAAGACACCAACATTATACCAAATGGAGAAATATTAGAGTGTTTTTGATAAAATCAAGACTGAGACAAGGATGCCCACTCACCACTATTATTTAATATAATGCTTGATAATCTTAGTTAGGGTTTCTATTGCTGCAATGAAACACCATTACCAAAAAGCAAGTTGGGGAGGGTTTATTTGGCTTATACTTCCATATTGCTGTTCATTACTGAAGGAAGTCAGGGTACAAACTCAAACAGGGCAGGAGCCTGGAGCCAGGAGTTGATGCAGAGGCTGTGGAGGGGTGCTGCTTACTGGCTTGCTTCACATGGCTTGCTCAGCCTGCTTTCTTATAGAACCCATGACTATCAGCCCAGGGATAGTACCCCCCCACACACACACACAATGAGCTGGGCCCTCCCCCATTGATCACTAAATGAGAAAATGCCTTCCAGCTGGGTCTCATGGAAGCCTCTCTTCAGCTGAGGCACCTTCCTCTTATAAATAACTCAGCTTGTGTCAAGATGACACAGAAAACCAGCCAGTACACTTGATGTCTTGTCTAGATCACTAAGACAAAAGAATGAAACACACACAAGATACAAAAAGAAAGAAAAAGAATCATGTTATTTTTATTTGCAAATGATATGTCCTGGCTTTTTACTTAAAAGATCCTATATATGCTACTACAGAATTCTGCAATCTGCTAAGCAATTTTAGCAAAGTAGCAGTATACAAAAATCAGCATGCAAAATGAATGAGTAACCTTCTATATACAGAAAGTAAACTTGGTACAATAGAAACCAGGAAACATATCCTAGTCACAATATCTTCTAAAATTAAATTGACTGTGAATAAATATAATTGAGAAGGTGAAAAACAACTCAATAACAAAAACATTAAGAACACGTTTTTGTTGGTCTTCATTGTCAACTGAATTAGAATTATAATCACCATAGAAACACATTTTTGGTATGTCTATGAAGGCATATCCAGCAAGATTTAATTGAAGAGAGAAATCCCACATGGAGCGTAGATATCAACATCCCATGTACTGCTGTCCCAGACTAAATAACAGGAGAAAGTGGGCTGAGAATCAGTATTCATATTGCTGCATACTGATTTCCAGTGCAATGTGACCAGATCTTTCAAACACCTGCCAACATCATTTCTTTATTCATCAAGGAAATCAAAATTGAAATTGTGCTGTGATTACATCCCACCCTGTGTAGAATAGTATTAATAAGAAAACAGACTTCTTTTAAGATAAATGATATCAAGGATATGTGCAAAAAGGAACATTCATACAGTGCTGGTGGGAATGTGAACTTGTAGAGCTACTGTGGAAATTAATATGGATATGCCTTAAAAACACTAAGGATTCATGGAAAATCATGATGTAAATCTGATAATTTGTGAGCTTCTGTATATATGCATTTTATGAACTTCCATATATATACACATGTATACACATATAGTAACATATATATGTACATACATATAAAAAATTTAAATAGATTTGCCCTACACAGAGAATAATGCACCTTCCAAAAGTCATAAGTCATCAGATAAAAAGTCCAGTGGTAGGGGTTCTTATTCCTAAGATGTTTCTAAGATGTTTGCAGTGCAGTTGCTAGCCCAGAAGAGACGGTTGTCGGTACCTGCAAATCCCCAGGCGGGCTGGGGGAGCCCGCCATGCGACAGCGGCTACAGTTTCCCACCAGCAGGAGGTGGCGGCAGGTAACAGACACATAGACACAAAAATAGGCATAAAGCTAAAATATTTATTACGAGAGAGAGAGAGAGAGAGAGAGAGAGAGAGAGAGAGAGAGAGAGAGAATATTAAACAAACAAAAAACAAAAACAAACGGGCGTGGCTAGGGCAGGGACTGAAAGAATAATAGGGGGTGACATGTCTCACCTCAAGTTGTTGGTTGGGGTAATTGTAGAAACAATCAAACAATGAATGATATTGGCATTGCTCTTGGACATCCACTGGGACTTGATGGTTGTAACCCACCCAGCAGGTCCAGTTACTCCAGAGTCTGAAGGGGCACCACCTGAAAGAACATGGGTGAGAACGAGGAAGAAGACCAAGCAATTCTGTTCTCAATTTGTCAAGGTCTTCCTTTATTGAAGCAAGGTTTTTGTCTTATATACTCCTCAGTGAGGAACTCAGGCAGGGGGAACTGGGGAAGGGGGAAGGGATTCAGCAGCTAGGCTTGGCAGCTAAGCAGGGCAGTTGCAAGGTCAGTGGCTAGAACACCTGCTGTTAGTGATAAGCAGCAAGCATGAAGACACTCTGTGGTGCTTTCCAGAGCTTGAGTCTCCATGGTCAGCACATAATGTTTTTGTTAACTCTAAGTTTTCTGTCTCAAAGTTTTTACTTCAAGGCCCTGTGAGGAAGGAGAAGCCTGACATGGCTTTCTGGCAGATGGTAAGAACCTACTGTTGAAGAAACAAAACATTTTGCTCATATGACTTGGAGAAACAAAGCTAGTACTGACATCAAAGCTTCCTCCCAACTGACTAGCTTTCACAGTACTGGATGGTGCTGTGTAGACTGCTGGGAGAAAGGAAGTCATAGGCAGTCTTACTCGGCTATGTTTATGTGTATATAGGACTCTGGTGTATGTGGTGAGGAATGCACACAAGTTCCTGCTCATGACTGAGAAACTATTGACAGTTGAGTCCTGTGAGAGGAAGAGGAATCAATTTTCTTCAGGAATGTGGTAGCTGGTAGATTGACCATGCACCAGTGCATGGATCCACACTCATCTATATAAGGGCAGCATTAAACTCACTGAATTATGAACTAATAATAATGGAAATTTGAATCAAATTACAATGAGATAGAATCCCACACTTACTAGAATAGCCTTTTTTTATTAAAAATAGTTTTTTTCACACATCATATTTTGACTGTGGTTTCCCTTCCCCTAATTCTTTCCAGATCCTCCGCACCACTCTGCCCACTCAAACCCACACTTTTTCTTGATCTCTCATTAGAAAAACAAACAGGCATATCAAATTAAAAAAGAAATAAAATAATAATAAAATAAAATAACAAACAAATAGACCTAATTAGGACCAAACAAACAAATTAACAGGAAAAAAGAGCCAAAGAAGAAGGGGTGTCCATATAAATGCATAGATACATACATTCACACACAGAGAGATAAAAGTCAGAAACCATAATATATAAGCAAAGGACCAAAAGAATAAAAAGGCAGGCAGGCAGGCAGGAAGGAAGGAAGGAAGGAAGGAAGGAAGGAAGGAAGGAAGGCCCAAACAATGTATTAGGAGACAAAAAAAGGCCAAAAGAAAACAACCACAACAACAAAAACACTTCTCCAAAATTACCATTTTGTTTGTTTTGTGTTGGGCATTTACTGCTGGGCATGACTCTTCCTCTTAAATGTGTTTTGTATGCTCAGTGAAACTTTGTTAGACAAAACTAGTTTTTTTCCTTTGTGAGTAGTCATCAGTTGAAAATAGCTTCTGGGTTAGGGATGGGGTCTTGTGTCCACTTCCCATTTCAGTTCTGGGACCCTGTCTGGCTTAAACTGGGCAGGCCCTGTGCATACTGCCACAGTCTCTGTGAATTCATATTGTTATCACTCTTGTTGTGTCTAGAAGGCTTTGTTTCGTTGCTATCTTCCATTCCCCTGGCTCTTACAATCTTTCTACCACCTCTTCTGCAGGGTTACATGAGCCCTGAGGGCAGGGATTTAATGGAGACGGTCCATTTAGGACTGAGTGTCCCAAGGTATCTCACTCTCTGCACATTCTCTAGCTAGGGGGTCTCTGTACTTGTTCTCATCTACTACAGGAAGAAGCTTCTCTGATAATGGCTAAGCAAGACACTGATCTTTGAGTATAGTAGAATGTCATTAGCAATCATTTTCTTGCTATATTACATAGTGGAACAGTAGAATTTGGTCTCCCCTTATGTTAATGGCCTAATGAGTCTGAGGTTCTTGGCAACCCTGGCAGTGTCAGTCATGGGTTCCATAACTTTAAACTAGGAATACAAAGCCAGTGGGAACTCCACTGGGTGTGCTTGCTTGGTTGCTTGATTTGGCATGGTTACACAACCTTCTTCAAAAGAAAATCGTTTTTACCTTGTTGAAATACTTTGGACTGTGTGGTCATTTTTTTTTTTTTTGAGAACTCAGACATTTTGCTACCCTTGGCTTTGTCTTCCTAATGCATAGAGCCCCTGTCCTGCACTCTCAGTGGTCAGAATTCAGCTGCACATGTGTATGCAGTTGCCTAGTTTGAAGTCATGGAGTTGATAAGCAGAACATAATTTTTAACAGAGAGTACAAACTTAAGGACATATTTTTATTCATATTCCTTGGATGAATTTTGAATCGCTGACAAGTGGCTTCTTTATATTTTTTGGGGGGTGCAATGAACTTTATTGATGGTATTCAAGAGAGTAGGGCTCCCTAAGCTCCTTGTGCTATTCTGAAGGTCTGGGATGGAAACTGTGAGGGAGATGCTCAGTGTCAAGGATTGAGTTATGACAGGGACTGCTCAGCAGCTGAGGGCCTCTCTCTTGCTGTGTCCTTGCTGGGTTGGGTGGTCCAGGGTGGGCTTCTTACTCCTTGGAGGCCACGTAGGCCATGAGGTCCACCACTCTGTTGCTGTAGCCGAATTCATTGTCGTACCAGGAAATGAGCTTTACAAAGTTGTCATTGAGAGCAATGCCAGCCCCAGCATCGAAGGTGAAAGAGTGGGAGTCACTGTTAAAGTCACAGGAGACAACCTGGTCCTCAGTGTAGCCCAGGATGCCCTTTAGTGGGCCCTTGGATGCCTGCTTCACCACCTTCTTGATGTTGTCATACTTGGCAGCTTTCTCCAGGCGGCATGTCAGATCGACGACGGACACATTGGTGGTAGGAACATGGAAGGCCATGCCCGTGAGCTTCCTGTTCAGCTCTGGGATGACTTTGCCCACAGCCTTGGCAGCGCCAGTGGACGCAGGGATGATGTTCTGGGCAGCGCCACGGCCGTCTCGCCACAGCTTCCCAGAGGGGCCATCCACAGTCTTCTGGGTGGCTGTGATGGCATGGACTGTGGTCATGAGTCCTTCCATGATGCCAAAGTTGTCATGGATGACCTTGGCCAAGGGGGCTAAGCAGTTGGTGGTGCAGGAAGCATTGCTGACAATCTTGAGGGAATTGTCATACTTGTCATGGTTCACACCCATCACAAACATGGGGGCATTGGCAGAAGGGGTGGAGATGATGACCCTTTTGGCCCCACCCTTCAAGTGGGCCCCAGCCTTCTCCATGGTGGTGAAGACACCGGTAGACTCCACAACATACTCGGCGCCGGCATCCCCCCATTTGATGTTGGCGGGATCTCGCTCCTGGAAGATGGTGATGGCCTTCCCGTTGATGACAAGCTTCCCATTCTCTGCCTTAACTGTGCCTTTGAACTTGCCATGGGTGGAGTCATACTGGAACCATGTAGTTGAGGTCGATGAAAGGGTCATTGATGGCAACAACGTCCACTTTGCCAGAAGTGAAGGCAGCCCTGGTAACCAGGCGTCCAATACGGCCAAATCCGTTCATTCCGACCTTCACCATCGTGTCTCTGGAATGAGGCTGGCACTGCAGGAAAAGAAGCGGCTGTCTCTAGAACAGGGAGGAGCAGAGAGCCGCTTCTTTATATTTTTAATGGAGTTTTGTCTTGTTTAATACTTTAAGATTAAATAAAAAACATTTTATTTACACCCCACAATTTTCCCTCTTTTACATTATACTTTTACTTTTTCTTCAAATTCAGTTACCACTGCCTGATTTTTCTGTTATACGATATTCATCAGTAAGATTATGATAAGATAATTTTGGCAGTTATTGCTGTTGTGATTAGTCATTGGATTATGCCTCATTTGTATGGAATTACAGAACATCAAATTCTAATAGTGACTCATGGAGTATGACAGGATGGAGGTCATTACCTCATTGCATTTTCCAAACCATCATTTTATGGATTAGAAAAATGGCCATTTATTCTTTAAATATTCTACCAGAAAACTTGTAGAAATGAGTAACATTTTGAGCAAAGTGACAGGATACAGCACCAAAATCAAGTAGCCTTTCTTTTTTTTAATATTTATTTATTTATTATATATACAATATTCTGTCTGTGATTATGTATACAATATTCTGTCTTTGTGCATGTCTGCAGCCAGAAGAGGGCACCAGACCTCTTTACAGATGGTTGTGAGCCACCATGTGGTTGCCGGGAATTGAACTCAGGACCTTTGGAAGAGCAGGCAATGCTCTTAACCTCTGAGCCATCTCTCCAGCCCTCAAGTAGCCTTTCTATAAACTAGTAACAGACATACAGAAAACAAGGTCTTAAACACATTCTCATTCATAATAACTAACCAAGGAGGTAATAGAGCTCTGCAATGAAAATGTCAAATCTCTGAAGAGATAAAGACACTAGAAAATGAAAAGACATATTATGTTCTTGGATTGGTAAGATTAATATTATAAAAATGAATATTAACCTATGAGTGAGTACATGTGATAATTGTCTTTCTGTGTCTGGGTTATCTCACTCAGAATAATGTTTTCTAGCTCCATCCATTTTCCTGCAAAATTCAAGATGTTGTTATTTATTTCTGCTGTGTAATACTCCATTGTGAAATGTACCCCATTTTCCTTATCTATTCTTCGGTAGGTGGTTTTTAGACATAAAGCAAAGAAAACCAGCCTACAAATCACAATCCCAGAGAACTTAGACAACAATGAGGATACTAAGAGAGAGACTTACATAGATGTACTCTACATGGGAAGTAGAAAAAGACAAGATCTCCCAAGTAAATTGTTTGCATGGGGACCTTTGGGGACGGTTGAATGGGGGAGGGGAGAGGCAGGAAGGGGAGGAGAGAAAAATGTAGAGCTCAATAAAAATCAATTAAAAATTAATATTACCAAAAGCCATGCATATATTCAATGCAATTCCAATCAAAATTCCCATCTCACTCTTCAAAGAAATAGAAACAACTGTGCTCAAAGTCATGTAGAATCACAAAATTCACTGGATAGCCTAACAGCCCATAGTAATTAAAGGGACTCTTGCCAGCCTGAGCATGACAAACATGGCTCTGGCAGGCCTTGCCCTTCTCTATTCCCTCTGCCTTACTAAAAGCCATTAGATTGCATTCCTAAAGCTATCCAACTAGGTCCATTCCCTTATTTGACTACTTCCTCCTCCTGAGACTGATTACTAAGGTCCACATATCAAAGTATTGGAGTTCAGCAATCAACCCCCCCTTCCCTCATCTAATTAGCATGCCCAATTAAAACTAAACACCTCATTCTAACATGAGGTTTCCCCTTTTACCTTTATAAGCTGCCATTTGCCTTTGAGTCATGTCTGTCTCCTCTCTATCCAGAGGCAGTCCTTTGTTCTCCAAGAACAAATACCCCTTCCCCTCCTCTCTTGTTCCTTTCCCCTCCTCCCTTAGCCTCTGTCTCCTGACTTTGTCTCTTATTCCCTCCCCTTTGTCCCTCTGGTGCAAATCTCCTTTGTTCTGTATGTGAAAATAATCTATTTTCCATAAAGGGGAACAGATGAAAATAAAAAGAAAATATATAGTGAAGAGTTCAAACAACTTTTTATTTATTTATTTATTATGTATACAATATTCTGTCTGTGTATATGTCTGCAGGCCAGAAGAGGGCACCAGACCTCATTACAGATGGTTGTGAGCCACCATGTGGTTGCTGGGAATTGAACTCAGGACCTCTGAAAGAGCAGACAATACTCTTAACCACTGAGCCATCTCTCCAGCCCCTTCAAACAACTTTTTATATATGATACATATTATTCCTTTTAAAAACGGCGGCGGGGCGGCGTGGGTGTGTGGACAAACACAGGATAGACGGGACGCAAAGGAAGAGACAGACACGCTGCTCCCACGTGGGTGCGCTTTAATGGGGAGAGGGGAACACAGTAAGGGG